TTGACAACAACTTTACTGCTCTGTACAGAAAGGAGATCATCTGAAAAGAAGTGTCTAGCTACAGTTGCTAGATTTCTTCACAACAGTCATCTTTCGCCTTGTGTGAATTATAAAGAAAACAGTCATCAATATTTGAAGCTACAATTTGAAGCAACTGCAATTGATGTTTCAAGAACCACTCTGCTGAAGGTGCCCTCTAGAATACAACGTTAAAGGTAAGACCCTTCATTAAAACTGGTTTAAAAAAACACGGAGGCAACAATATGGACTTGATTGGAGTGAAAACAAAGTGGATTAGAGCAGCAAAAGAGTTAAACAAAATCAGTAACTGTAAACCTTGGCTTGTCATTTCTCCTTTCAGTACATAAACCAGCTGCTGCCTTTCTCCCTAACCGCACACACATACTGATTCAATTAAAGTGCATTTATACTAGCACCATTATATTGGTATGCGCATGGAATGGATTAACTCAGCTTTAAGTGAAAATCATCTCTTGTACTGGAATGAACTTAGAAAATGTTCACAGGTACAAATATTCAGGTGTTATCGCTATTTTCTATAATTATCACTGTTAAATCGTAGAGGAGTTAAAACTCTTGACTATGTTAACTTTAACAGTAAAAGGTGAATAATTATTTCAAAGTGCTAAAATGTGGGTAGAAAGGATTAACAAACTGATCTGGCTTGTTTGGTTCCACTTTATTTCTAACCCATAATCAATTATGCATTACCAAACGTTAGTGAAAAGCCATTTTATCTAAATTAACTTCAGCTTATTATTAATGAGAAGCTTGTAAAGAATTTCACTGATGCGCAATCAAAACAAAACATTTTCGACTCCACTTTAGACTTGGTAAGTGCTATCAGTTCTCTTAACAGACTAAAGCATTTAAAATATCACTACAGCAATATCAGCACATGAATAGCATGAGAATTTTTATCAAGAAATTTAGGCGTAGCTAACCTCAGTGATAAGTCACAGTTGAGTAAAAGGAAATGTTGACAAGGGAGCACAGTAGGCACCAATGGTAAGATTAATTGAGGTTGCTAATATATGTGAAAGCAAGAAACTATACAAGCATAGTGTAAGGCTGAACATGATAAAACACAACTTTAGAATTGTTGTGACTGAGATGTCCCATATATCCCACAATGTCTATACTGCCCTTTATTTCTGGTGACTTTTCATTTCTACAAGGGTGGAGGCATATTGGGAATATGCTCATCTGGGCTATATGAATAAACTGGAAGATGTTGAAATTTTTGTACATTTTTAGGAATAAATTCATTTATTGTCCTTAATTGCTAGAACACCTGACTTTGGAGCCTCTGTGCTGATCATAGTGTAGGAGTGTGATCTGAGTGAGGAAGACTTCACTTGAGTGAGACAGGGGCAACGTGAGTATATTTGGGAATTTGATTCAAAGTGGGAATTCGCAGCAAAGAGGGAAAGAAGTGCTTTAAGTAAGGTTTACGGCAAGAAGTAAAGTGTGCTGAGTGAGGGATTTGGTAAAGTGTGGGAATAGGGGTTTTCTTCCCACTACAGTTTTTTTTAGTTCAGGATTTGATTTCCAATCTTTTTCCAATGTAAACACTTTGGGAGGTGCACCTGTCTTAATTACAAATTAATTAATTAGCATTCTCTAATTAACACATATTAGTGATGGCAAGGCAAGTGCTGTCCTACAGTTGCAGAATGTGGGAGCTTCAGGATGTTGGTGTGATTCAGTGCAAATGCTTTTTCAGTAAACTCTTGTGGCTGGAGAAATTTCAGTTCAGACTTACCGAACTGGAGGCTGAGCTTCAGGCATTGTAGCACAGCAAAGAATGGGGTTAGTTCCTGAAATTTATTCCAGGAGGCAATCACACCCTTTCGGGTAGGACCTTCTGATTTGCTCAGTGGTCATGGACAGGAGGACTTGACTACAAGTGAGGCAGTTAAGGGCACCCAGAAGCCAGAAATTTAGGAGCCTCACACTATGCAATTATCCAACAGGTTTTAGGTTTTCTCAGCTTGTTTGGATGAGAGTGAGGGTAGGAGGGTAGATAAGCAAGCTGACCATGGCACAGGAAGCTAATCAAAAGAGGGGAGTAAGAAGTATGTAATGGCATATAAGGGACAGTACTGGACGGAGAAATTGACTCTATTCACTGCAGCTACGAACAGTAGCTCAGACAGCTGTTTGACTGTCTTCTATTGCCAGTGTTTGGGATATCTGCTCAGGGCTGGAGAAGAACTCTCAGTGAGAAGGGGATGATCCATCATCAGTGTTCACGTTGGTACCAATGTTAAAGGTAGATAGAATCATAGAGTTGTACAGCACGGAAACAAACCCTTTGATCCAACTTGTCCACACTGATCAGATATACTAAACTGATCTAATTCATTTGCCAGCATTTGGCCCATATCCCTCTCAACTCTTCCTGTTCATGTACCCATCCAGATGCCTTTTAAATGTTGTAATTGTACTCACCTTCACCACTTCCTCTGGCAGCTTGTTCGATACACACAGTACCCTCTGCATGAAAAATTTGCCCCTCAGATCCCTTTTAAATCTTTCCCTTCTCACCTTAAAACTCTCATGATTTTAGAAACCTTTATAAGACCACCTCTCGGCCTCTAACACTCCAGAGAAAAACGTCCCAACCTATTCAGCCTCTCCCTGCAGCTCAAACCCTCCAATCCCAGCAACTCTGGGAAAGACGCTCTACTGAGGGAGTCTGAGAAGTTTTGTTAAATCAAAAAGTTAAATTAAAAGCCAGCACTTCACAAAGATAATAATCATGACATTGCTACCTGAGTCACATTCATATTAATATAAATTACATAAGATTAGAAAAGTGAATGCATGACTCAAAGACTGCTGTGGGAGAAATAGATTCCCGTTTATGGTGTACTAGCACTAATACTGAGGAAAGTGGGAGCTGTACCACAGGGATGGTCCACACCTGACTGTGTGTTGGGACTGGTGTTCTTGTGAGCTGCATGACAAGGGAAATAGAGAAGGCTTTAAACTAAATGCGAGGTTGGGGTGAAGGATCAAGCTTGGGTCAATATAACAAATCAAAGGACATAGTTGAAACAAGAGACTAAATCACCAAAATGGCACATGAAAATCAGAGAATGACAGGGGGAAATTAAACCTAAGATTATATGAGCAGTCAAGGCAATAAAAATTAACTGTAAGTTCTGACTAGTGTTTCAGGAGATTAGGAAGTAGAATCTGTTTAGATGGAGATGAGGAAAAGTAGGGGAAAGAAATGATTTATGGGAACATCTACAGATCCCCAAGCAGTAACCATAATGTAAGCAGACATACAGAAGAAGAAATAATGGGTACTTGTGATAAAAGCATAGCAATAATTCGAGATGATTTTATAAATATATAGATAAGAATAATCTGATTGGCAATAGTAGCCTTGACGTAGAGTTCTTAGAATACTTCAGGATAGTTTCTTAGGGCAGCATATTCTGGAACAGATCCAATAGCAAGACCTCATGTTTAATAGTGTGACACAAGTTAAAAATGGGTACCTACGAGAACATGAAGACTGAGCTAGCTGACGTGAGCAGGGACTTTAGGCAACGTGATATATAGTAGAGAAGCAGTTGCAAACATTTAACAGGATGTTTTAGAATGCTCAGAATAAGTATATTTCTGCTATAAAGAAAGGTTCCAAGTGGAGGACCCACCAACCACCATTAACTCAAGACATTAAGAAATGCAGTAAACTTAAGGAAAAAAGCATATAATTGTACAAAGGTTAATGGCAGGTCAGATTACTGGCCAGAATACATAGAATAGCAGAAAATGACTGAATCAGAACAGATAAACTAGAATCTGAGAGAAAGATAGCTAGGAACATAAAAACAGCAAGAAAAAGTTTCTACATGTATCTAAAAAGAAGAGTAAATAAAGTGTGAGTTGGATCTCTAAAGGGTAAGAATGGGGAGTTAAAGTGCATAGTAAATGCGATGATTAAATATTTTGCTTTTGTCTTCACTAAAGAGTGTAAAAAAAATTCTAGTATTACCTGTAAATGAGGAGGTAGAAGGAAGAGGGGTACTTCGTGAAATTTTAATCCCTAGGGAAGCAGTGATTCAGTTTACCTTGTTCTGTGAACAGGTAAGATGGTATCTTATGGCAAATTAGTACACTAATTCACATGGATACTGAACTGTGCATGTCTGATTTTACGCTTGGTTGCAATCAACATCTGTGAGCAAGTTTATGAAACATACTATACAAATCATAACTGATATTAAATGGACAAACTTAGTATCTGTCAACAGCAACAGTTTGAACCTCAACTGATAGAAATATGTGTTATGAATGATAGCTGCTATCATAGCTATTACAATTCTATTTCATAATTCCTGACTTTGAAGTGTTAAGAAGGAAAAAATAATAAATAACAGATGGTGGAAGTTAAAGACAGAATGTACCACCCTCAGGTACAGAGGGAAAAATGTTGTTATGTAGCAGTTAGACTCAATGAAAGCTACTCCAACTATGAGGACATTCTATCAAAACCATAATCACTAAAAAATCAAGAAAACAGCAACATGTTGAGTGACTTTTATAAACACTGGATAAATTGTGAGGTTAACTTTGCAGTCTGTATTAATATTATGCTCTGTTTTTGCCAGTAGTAGTATTTGGTGCCAGCATTCCAGTAAAAGAGAATGCAGCAGCATTTGATTATGAACATACCTGAATCAAATAACATTTTAGTTGACTTTTACCATGACTATAAAATATTGATGACAAATGTCATCAACTAGAAGCATCAAAGCCCATCCCCACATCCCCATTCAAAGAGCAGACATTTTAACATTTGCAATAATAACAACTTCTTGAGTTACAGAACTCTTGGAACACAGGCCTGATGCAGATTCCGTCTCCTCCCTTCAAGCTTTTCCACCTCCCATTATTTCACAATTTCCTCTCTGGAAAAGTGTTTTGGATTAAGAACAGGACCATTCTAGTGACAACATTGATACAATGTTGTTGTAGGATCATGCACTGTATTTAATGAGAGACCATGTTCTTGCCACTTTTTGGAAATACAAAAATGCTCAAAAATTAAAATGATGTGAAGCACCTAATGGTTTTAACATATACTGTACTTCAGTGTAAATGACGCAACATTGCTTTAACTGTAACTGCAAGGAGAAAACACAAAAGATTCTTTAACACAAAGGTAAGTCATTTTAATCTTGTTATAATTGATTTTTTGTGACTGTTACATAAATTTGGTGAAAATCAGTGTTTAAACTTTGCTGCTTTAAAATTGTATAGGCACGATGCATTAAAAATAACTTCTTTATTTTCAAAAAATTAGCCAGAATAGCTATAAAGTACATGAGGATTTTGCTAATTTATAACAATTAAGACACCGTGATTTCTATGGTGGGATTCTTCCTTAATCTTGTACTTTCAAGCAGGGAAATCATAAATGTAGGAATCAAGCATTGGGGATTGAGGTGCAGCATTGTAGCCTGCAGTCACGGAGAATGTGGCTCCCTGCTGGAATCAAGGAATCTTGGAATCACTCTAGTGGGTAAATGCACCACATGTGGTGGCATTGAGCCATTCGAAGCAGAGGTAAGAATTCCTTTGGGTATGATGCGCAGTGACATTTAAATGATGTCTGTGAAGCTTTGCTAGCTTTTGCCAACGTAAGACGGAACCTGTTTGAAAATAGAATATTTTCAGGTTCATTACAAACAGAGTGCAAGAATTTTTCACAAACGCATTTAAAATGTCACTGAACTAGTGACCAGAGGAATTTGTAACGTCCCTGGAATTTTCAAGGTGTGATCCTTGGCCTGTACTTATTTTATTGACGCTAGCTAGATGGCAGTAACTTTGTAGCATTTTACCCTGTGCTAGGAAAAATAAATTCAGAAATTAAAACTGAAAATAGTGGCAACAACTAACCAATGGAAAAAGAGTTATAAAGTTAATGTTTCAGGTGGCCGACACATTATTAAAACTGGAAAATGTTCTAAGTGACCAGCTTTTCACAAAAATGCAGAGCTAGTTACAAAGAACAGGCTATGGAAAGAAGAGGCCTGAAATTGTGAAGAGGCAGTGGATGATTACTTAAGTCTGGTGATAGTAAAAAGTAAAAGAGGCTGATGTTGCAAAATTAGAGAGTTCTGTCCATTGGAAGTTTAAGCGGTCACTGGATTGTCAAGGGACAGAGTAGGATAGGATGGAAAATCTAAAAAGAAGTTGACTTCCATATTCAGGAATGTAATTAAGAAAGGCAATTCTAAACATTGCTTCATAAAAACCGAAATAACCGCGGATGCTGTAAATCAGAAAGAATCACAGAAATTGCTGGGAAAGTTCAGCAGGTCTGGCAGCATCTGTGAAGAGAAATCAGAGTTAATGTTTCAGGTCCAGTGACCCTTTTTAATAAGCATTGCTGTCTCTGAAAGTTCCTTCAGCCCTGCAATCCCCCAATTCTAGCCTCTTGTGTATACCATTGGTGGCCATGCCTTCAGCTGTCTCGGACCCTAACTTTGGAATTTCATCCCTGAAAGTGTCTTTCACTCTACCTGTTCCTTCCTTTAAGTTACTGCTTAATACTTGCCTCTTTGACCTTTATGTGTGCTGATATTTTTTCATGCGGCTTTGCTACCATGATTACCACACAGAAAGACGCTATGTGGCCTGTCATGTTCCTGTTGGCTTTTTGCAAGAGCAACTCCCACAATCTCACTCCCCTATCATCAGCCCTGCAATTATTTTTCTATTCAGATAATTATCCAGTTCCCTTTTGAAAGCCATGCTTGATTATGCCTCTACCACATTCTGAGACAATGCATTCTAGATCCTACTCATTTACTGTTTAATTATTTCCTCATGTTGCTGAGTAATAAAAGTTGTTGAATTTAACAGAATTTTTGTCACAAGAAAATATTTCTTTATTCAAATATGATTAGTACACAATTTCCTTTCATAAATTAAGCATGAAGCAAAGCTATAAATAAGCTTTTTTTAAACTTGGAATGTACTAATGTTTGTGGCTGTTCCACTTGGGATATTTTTGTGAACAGAATAATAGAGTGGCCATAGGGGCCAAGAAGAAATGGTATTTCTGACCAGGGTCCAACATCTTATTGTAATCCTGTCCATAAACACATAAAATGTTTAAACCATTAGGGAACGCAGATGCTATTATCTCACTGTTGTTTGAGGAACTGAGAATATCTCAATCTCCTATCAAAAAATGGCAAGACCACACTTGATTGTCAAAAAAGAGAAGTGCGCAAATCCCTACAGTGACAGGAACTAATGAACAACTTTGTGTTTTCACAAGTAAAAGGGAAATCATCTATAACATAGCTTCATCAACTGCTTGTTTACCAAGATATTGGAGAACCCAAGGCACATTTGGAGAAGGGTTGAATGCCTGATCAAGAGTAAATGTTCCTCTGTAATACTCACGGCAGTAGTGCAGACCTCTTTTATTCTTTTTATTAATGGAGTATGGGTGTTGCTGGCAAGGCCAGAATCTGTTGTCCATCCCTAACTGTCCTTGAGAAGGTGTTGGTGAACAGCCTTCCTTGAACTGCAGCAGTTCATGTACTTTGGTAAACCCACATGCTGTTGGGAAGGGAGTTACTTTTACATATCACACTGTTATGCCATTCAAGTGACATTTCAAAATAAGCAATGAATAGTGGCAGACTGAAATCCTCAATAAAAGCTCTCCATTGAAGGAGAACTAACGTTATTTAGGGGAGTCTTTACCATGAACTGTTTAATTAGATAGGCACACTAAACACTTACAAGCTAGCAGTTAGGGATTATCACAAAGCAAATGTCTATGCTACAGTGTGCTTCACACCAAGATCTAACAGGAATTCTTTTGCCTTTTTGATGTAATTTTACAAGTGGTTTTTATTGTAGATGACAGATTGTATCTTTTTTTCTTTTATTCAAACATGTGATAAACACAACAACACCATCACATAAATTTATGAAGGCAACCACAGCAAATATTTCTTGCTATAAAAATCTCCCATATTTTAGCAAAAAGCATTTTGAGCTTTTTTTTTATTTACTAATTGAGTTACTGTTCCAATGAAGAGCTGCAATATGTTCTTTTCTTTGCAATGAATGCCAATGACTTCAACAAATAAAATTGTAATGGTGTTACTAAGGAACATAAAACATTCTACTCATGCTGAGAAGTGTGGATAGATTCCACCTCCATTCAGGTGGACTCTCAACACATTGTCTATTAGAATAGGGATTGTACAATGTAGGTCTGCCCGACAAATAAACAATATTTTCTGCAGAGATAGTAGGAACTGCAGATGCTGGAGAATCTGAGATAACAAGGTGTAGAGCTGGATGAGCACAGCAGGCCAAGCAGCATCAGAGGAGCAGGAA